TTTACAGAAGTAGATTGCCTCATCTTTCTCCTGCAGAGTGGCTGGTGGGTTCGAACTGCCAACTTTTGGTTAGTAGTCAAATGCTTTAACCACTGCACCACCAGAGCTCCTTTCCTTGTAAAGTAAACTGCTCACTTAAATGATGTGTGTTGTATTTAATTAAGCAGTTTTGGAATTACCTGGGGTTTTTCTTCCAGAAAGAAAGGAGGGAAAACAGAAAAATCCTTTTACTAATTTCACATTTCCTATGAAGCCTGATATAATTTCTGAGTCATCCTTAATGTTATTACAGAAGAAAACATGACCTTTAGTATCAGATTATGTAAATAAAATAATATTTAGGGTGAAGTAAAGCTAGTAAGCCCTTCAGAAATGTACTTGCTCTGCTAGCAATGAATTGGTGTATTTAGAACAAATTAAGAGGAGAAAGGGATTGATTTATGAAAGAAAGCTGGTTTGAAAGAATTTCCAAACACAGAAGTTCCAAACACAAAAGTTACTTTTGGTATAAACATATTTTTTATTTGTTTTGTAAGATTAGGAAGGAAAAGAAATAATACTAAGCATCAAATATATTCGTCATGCAAGGAACATTACCGAGGTTAATTCTTAGCCCTATGAATCAGTGTACACATCAGGAAATTGAGGCTCAAAGGTAGAGACTGACCCAAAGAATTCACAGCCAGTAGGTTGTGGAGCCACATTATGCTTGTGCTATTTCCACAGTGCTAAGCTCTATTGGGAGCATAGTGGCTAAAGCACTTGACTGCTAACCAGAAGGCTGGCGGTTCAAACCCACCAGCCACTCCTCGGAAGGAAAACTTGGCAATCTACCTCCGTAAAGATGTTGTTGTTGTTTGCCATCGAGTCGGACCCGACTTATAGCGACCCCTACTTGGGTTGCCGAGGCAGTATCACTACGGAAGTAGATTGCCCAACCTTCCTTCAGAGATACTGCCTCACAAATCCAAGGAGGAGTTGCTATGATTCAGACCCATTGGACAGCAGTGAGTTTTTTGGAACTTAATCCTCTGGGAATAAAACCTTGAATTACAAAACCTGCTGAACTAAGAAGTAATAGAATCTGGTTGAACAAGCCTATTTATTCCTAATGCTGTTTCAAGGGTTAAGATTCACTCAAATAGAGACAACTACCATTCCTTCCATAGTAAAGAGTTAAGCAAAGTATTCAGGCTACTCCTATTCTATGTCTAAAATTTTCAAAGGGTACTTTTCCAAAAGAAGCTCAGGAAAGATAAAGGGATGACCTCCAGCACCACCCGAGTTGTAGAGCCCTAGCTCAAAAGGTAAGGGGAAGAAACAAGTTGCAATTTAAAAGTAGTCTAAATTAAGAACAGAGGTTATTTATGGTGAGGTAAGTATAAGGAGTGGGTACAAGTCAAAGGGGAGACAGATTGAGAGGATGGATTTCACTGTATATTGAAAAATTTATAAATCATGTGAATATATCACTTCTTCAAAAAAAATCTAAAAATCAATACTTATAAGTGCACTAACTAATCTTTTTATACAACTTTAAAACTAGATAAAAAGAATAAGTGACTAATGAAAAACTGAAGAGTAAAGGTCTTTCCCTTCCACAATGCTTACCTGTCATACCATGTATTTTCTCTACAAAGCATGTCACATTTTTAAGGTAAAATCATACTTAATTCTAAAGTAGGACTGAAGTAAAAGCTTTAGAAGGACTAGATTAGGGTATCAGTAAAAATAAGAAAAATGTAATACTTTATTTATTTGTTGAAATCTAAGTAAAAAAGGTACATGTATGTCATGCATCAATGCCAATTTCAAGGCTGGTTTAGCACCATTTACCTTTAGAAAGAGTAGGTTTAACTGCCATTCTGCCAACCAAGCATTCTTTCAGCATGGATTCGTAATTGACCCAACGATGAACCTGGTATGGGAGATAAATGACAGAAAAGCAATTTGTATCTTACTCGACAGGACATTTTGTTGTTCTTATGTGCCATTAAGTCAGACCTGACTCACTGCAACCCTCCTTGGATTTCCGAGGCAGTATCATTGCAGAAGTAGTTGCCCAACCTTCCTTCCAAGGAGTGGCAGGTGGGTTTGAACCGCCAGCCTCATGGTTAGCAGTCAAGTGCCTGAGGCACTACGCTACCAGAGGACATTTTAATCTTACTATAAGTAAAACTAAAATTCTTAAACTGCTCTGAAATCCAGTTACCATCAAATAGATTCTAACTCCCAGTGATTATGTCAGAGTGGAACTGTGCTTGGTAGTGCTTTCAATGGTCTATTTCAAGGAAACAGAATGCCAGGATTTTCTTCCAAGGTTAGACTTGAACCTCCAACTTTTTGATTAGCAGCAAAGCACTTTAACTGTATGCACCACCCAGAGAGATTCACTTAGCCAACAAAGATATAGAAAGGGAGATAAGGATTATTTAAACTAGTGTTCTCAAAGTATCATCTGTGGCACTTGGGGGTGTCCTTGACACCCTTTTCAGGTGTCTATGGGGTCTAAAATAGTTTCATGATAATAGTAAGGTATTGTTTGCCTTTTTAATTGTGTTGTCATTTATACTAATGTTACAAAAGCAATGGTGGGTAAAACTGCAGATGTCTTGGCATGAGTCAAAGCACTGACACCCAAACTATGAGAAATCACTATATTCTTCATCACTATGGACCCACAGAGGTAAAATTAAAAAAAAAAAAAAAAAAAAGCCAGTTACACTTAAGAATATCCTTCATGAAGCAATAAAAATCATTAATTTTCTTAAATCTCAATCTCTAAGTACCTGCCTTTTTCAATACTGGGATGAGTGGGAAATTCTCAAAAACAATAATGCTGTTAGTATGATGGTCCCACTGAGGAAATAACTCATAAACAATTTGCTTGTTCTGCAAACTGAGCTATGAGTGTTTTTCATAAAAGGTCATTTTTCCACAAAAGAATGAGTGATAAACAAAGTATGGTTATTCAGATTTGGGTATTTGACAGACATAGACTTGAAAATTAACAGTGAGCTTGTCATTTCAAGGAAGACAACTGGCAGTACCTGTTGCCATATACTACTGGTGGGAATTCAATTTAAACAGTCTTTTTGGAGGGCACTTTGACAATATACACTGAGCCTTAAAATATACCACTCTTTCACTCAGCAATTTAGGGATTTATCTGATAAATTATCACATGTACACAAAGATGTAGGTACTCATCATAGCATGAATTTATATTAGCAAAATATTGGAAACAATCTACATGCTCAAGAGTAAATGACCAGTAAAGAAAAATCACAATAAATTATTCAGTCGCTATGAGTCAGGGCCGACTCGAGGGCATATAACAACAACAACATATAATAAAGACAATAATCAGGTTAAAATAATAATATGTGGTATCAGAATCTTCATGGTATGTTCCTGAGTAAATAAATATACACAAAATAGTTAATTGTGTAAAGGGCAATCTATTTTCGTAGCGATACCGCCTCGGAAACCCAAGGAGGGGTTGCTATGAGTCCGGTCGACATGATGGGACCTAACAACAAACAACAACAACAACATATAATATGCACTCATTTACTAATCTAAATTGCTGTTTGATTTACCAAATATTTATGGTGTGTCCATTAATGTATACAGCATTATCTTTGGGGTAATAAGATTTTAAGCAGATAAATAAGAGTCTAAGCAGATAAATGAAGGAGACAGATATTCAAGGAGGCAAAGGTACAGAGTTTGTTGATCATGAGATCAACAAATGGCAGGCACTTCACTTTGTTTAAAGCAAGAAGATGCATGTTGAGAATATTTACCCTGATAAAGTCTTTTTAGGTCTTCAAAGTTTAAATTCTTCCACTGTCAACAGTGAGCTGCTAAGAGTTAAACAGCAAACTGCTAAGATGAATGCACTTTAAGAAAACTAAACTAGCTGCTATATGTTTTCTAAATAGGTATTGAAAGTAAAGCTGTGAGGACAGATTTAAATACAGGGGCTAGAGGTGATAATGATTGCAGTGAATTGCTTGATGTGGCCCTTCTAGCCACTGTGTTTCATTTTGTGGTGTATGGTAAATCCTATTACCCATGCCTGTTTAAGGTGGTGTGGTAATTAAGGTCGTGTGTCAACTTGGCTGGGCAGCTGGTAGTAGTCATACCCTACAATGACTAGCAATTAGCTCAGTGGTGGGATCTGCCCTGAGCAACTGAGTAGCTGCTGATTGTTAAAGCCATCCACTTGGGTTATTTCTGTTGTAGTAGCACAGGTGGGCTATATCATGAGTCCTGACTTGCTGGAGGGTATAACTGAAATCACCACCCTTAGCTTCCTTGAGGGTATACCTATGAATCTTCTGGGAAGGTTCACCCTCCTCTTCCTCCAGTTCTGCATTTTGGCTCATCATCATTTCACCCCTGGATTTGGGACAGCAGCCAACATATGAATTGGTGATTGAGGTTCATCAAACCCTGAGAATTGGGAGGATCCTCCAGACCTACTTACAGACCTGGGACTTACCAGCCTGCCAGCCTTCACCACCACTACGTGAGACAATCCTTGGTTCTGTGAGTTCTGTGAGGCATTACAGGGAAATACAGAACCCTAAGATGGGGAACATTACTGAAAGGACGAGGAGGAGTTAATATCTGAAATGATGGAGTGGCATGGTAGTTTGGACAGTTGGGACATCTTTAATATCCACTTCATAGGGACATAGCACATAGCCTTGTGCTGATCTTTCTATGAGAAATTGTTCAAGCAATGATGACTTGAACTAGGGCAGTGGGAATGAAGAAAAATAAGACAGAATTTATAGGATTTGGCCGCTGACTGGATCTTCGGGTACCAATAATAATAAAGGGAGGGAGATACCCCACCCAAGGCAGAAAGCAGCCAGGGCCAATGGCCGGATCCAGGTAAGGAGAGGTGGAGACCCCGCTGAGGCAGGAAGCAGCAGGAACAAGCCAGGGCCAGTGCCTGGATCCAGGTAAGGTGAGGGAGAGACCTCACCCAAGGCAGGAAGCAGTGGGAAGAAGCCAGAGCCAAGGGCTTGGACAGGCAGGGGGAAGGCCAGGAAGTGGGCAAGAAGGTTAGGAACAGCTAAGGCAGATGGACTTGTCTGTTAGTTTGTCCTATTGTGGTGGCTTGCATGTTGCTCTGAGGCTAGAGGCTGTACCACTAGTGTTTCAAATGCCAGCAGGGTTGTCCATGGTGGACAGATTTCAGCAGAGCTTCCAGACTGAGACAGACTCAGAAGAAGGAAGAGGCCATCCACTACTCAAAGAACTGGCCAGGGAAAACTTAATGAATAGCAGAGAAACACTGTCTGATACAATACCGGAAAACTTTTATGAATAGCTCTGAAACACTGTCTAATACAGTGCTGGGAGATGAGCCCCTCAGGTTGGAAGGCACTCAGAATACAACTGGGAAAGAGCTGCCTCATCAGAGTAGAGCCGACCTTAATGATACGGATAAAGTAAAGTTTTGGGGACCTATGTGCTGATGTGGCAGAACTCAAACTGAAGAGAAACAGCTGCAAACATCCATTGATAATCAGAACATGTTATGTACAAAGTATGAATCTAGGAGAACTGGAAGGTATCAAAAATGAAATGGAACTTATAAAGATTTATATTCTAGGCATTTGTGAGCTAAAATGGACTGGTTTTGGCCATTTTGAATCAGAAAACCATATGATCTACTATGCTGGGAATGACAATTTGAACAGGCATGTAGTGGCAGTCATCGTCACAAAGAATGTGTCAAGCTCTATCCTGAAGTACAATGCTGTCAGTGATAGGATAATGTCCATACGCCTACAAGGAAGACCAGCTAATATGACTGTTATTCAAATTTATGCACCAATCACCAAAGCCAAAGATAAGGAAACTGAAGATTTTTACCAACTTCTGCTGTCTGAGATTGACCAAGCATGCAATCAAGATATCACTGGTGACTGGAATGCAAAATTTGGAAACAAAGAAGAATCACTGGTAGTTGGAAAATTTGGTCTTGGTGACAGAAATAACACTGGAGATTGCATGGTAGAATTTTACAAAACCAACCACTTATTCATTGCAAATACCTTTTTTCAACAACACAAACAGTGGCTAAACACATGGACTACACCAGATGAAGTACACAGGAATCAGACTGACTACACCTGTGTGGCAAGAGGTGATGGAGAAGCTCAATATCTTCAGCCAAAACAAGGCCAGGAGCTGATTGGGGAATAGACCATCAACTGCTCATATTCAAGTTCAACTTGAAGACAATTAAAACAAGTCCACAAGAGGCAAAATATGACCTTGAATATATACCTCCTGAATTTAGAGACCATCAAAAAAATAGATTTGATGCACTAAACACCAATGACCAAAAACCAGAGGAATTGTGGCATAACATCAAGAACATCATCCATGAAGAAAGCAAAAGATCATTAAAATGACAGGGAAGGAAGATAAGACCAAAATGGATATCAGAAGAAACTCTGAAACTTGCCCTTGAATGAAGAATAGCTAAAGCAAATGGAAGAAATGACAAGATAAAAGAGCTGAACAGAAGATTTCAAAGAGCAGCTTGAGAAGACAAAGTCAATTTGCCAGGATTGCCAAGAGATTTGGAAGACAGCTACCTGGCCAACTGATGGGAAGAGATCCATATTTG